AAGTGCTGTTTATTCTTTCAGGCTCATATTTAATCATTTTACTGGATGGCAAAAACGCCATGTGTAACTTCCTGATAGTAGACCAAAAATACAGGGGCTCAAGCATCGGTACGTAAGTTCTATTTGGCATAAAGTTACGCAGATTTAATGTGTACGTAGCAAGAAGAGGATATAGGGGCCTTTATTTTAAATGTCCTAAAAAGATTGAAGTGATTCACCAATATAGTAACAGGCAATGTGGTCTCATTTTGACTTTTTTTCGATATTGTGCTATACAAAAGCATTACTCCTTTTACTTTCATGTTAATTAAGCGCAGCATAATTTTCCAGGATATTATGTGTGCTTTTTTTTAATTTGAAAAAAGTTTATTTAAGACATAATTCAGTACGTTTTTTTCTCTCATATAATTAACAAAAAAAGACCAACGACATAACTTGAGTAGAGAGGCCTTTACAGAATTGTACTCTCATGTTCCTGTTACAAAGGGTACTGAAAGGTATTCCAATTACAAAATAAATAATTATGTTATTTTTACAATCAATACGGATATTTTTTATCAATTACAGCGAAGAAAATTGTAGCAAGGACTATGGAAAACGCTGGAGATAGAAACGTCGTGATCTATTCCATTTACAACCGAATACAGTCTAACATAAAATTCGGCCTGAAAATTGGTGGGCAGCATGTACATCTTTGTGAAGGTCGTTTTGATGTGGGGACCTTGAATTCCGATGCCAAAATGAACCACTCTGTGATCAACGTTATCCCAGCAAATGAGGTGGACTTTGAAGCTCTTCTTACTTATGACACCTCTATCAATGTATTTCAAAGGAAAAAGTTCTTGAAAGCGTGGCTGGCAAAGCCGTCGGCCATTTCGTTTGCAGCACTCACAGATGGCGGTGAGGTCGTGGGTTATGGTCAGGTGCAAGACGCACCGCGTACGAAAGTCATATCTCCGCTCTACGCTGATAATCCGGAAGCATTTAAGTTGCTTCTAAAAGCTCTTCTGGAATCCATTCCTACCGAGTCTCGTGTAAATATGTTTATCAACGTCGATTATGAAGCCGGGATGGAAGTGATAAATAAAAACAAGGGAACAGTGAAAATGTTGCCGGAGGAACGCGGAACCTTCATGTATACCAAGAGAAATTTGGAAATACCCAAATTTGGGAGTGTCTTTGCATTAACTTGTATTGGTTCCTTTCCTGCATGATTGGCTAGAGGCACTTGCAAACAATATAAGCATTTTAGCGCTCAATCGCTAATAATACCATTTAGAAAAACTGATTGCTGTCTTTCTCCAGTATGCAGGAGAACATTATTTGTATAGCGACTGATGATATATGAAATTTTTAAAGAGACATGAATCTTAACTAGAGAAGTTCACAATTCTGATTTGTGGTGTTAAAAGTTTAATTTTTTACACTCAATAATGATTACTGACCTTTAACTTAAAAAAATCAAAAAGCAAACACAAAACACACACACAAAAAACTGACAATTTTTAAGAAAAGAGTGAAGCCTATCAACATAAGTCTATTTAGCTGCTTAGCATTTGATAGGCAAAAATGTCATTGTACATGTATTATTGTATAAACCATTGATTAAACGATCAGTCGACAATTACCCAGCAAACATGGTAACGTTATAGTAACGCTATGGTAACGTTATAAGACGCTCTGTGTTCGCTGGGTAGTGAAGTTCCTTAATACGAGAATTGGTACGCAATAATCCGTAAATGGGAATGGGTACATGTCTCGTATACTATAAACAATACATGCAATAGTGCATAGTAAAGTTACAAAACATTTCAGCGCAAATATTAAAATTGATATCTGTCTTTCTTTCTTATTATATAAGTTAAATGAAAATGATGGTAGCCCTTAAGGCTTATTCGTTCAGAAAAAGCCTTTTTCATGTTTAAATATATTTTTTACCCTTTTTTAAGTTAACGGTCTTTGTATGTTTGCATGGTTGTTATATAATCCCTTTCTGTTTAATATATTTTTTTGAAAGAATAGGTCTTTCATTATGAGAAAAATAATTTGCCTTATTCATTACCAATTCAGAAATTAATCTCACGAAAACAAAAGCAAACTGTGATGCTTTATTTAATGCTTTTTCTGAAAACACGTCGTATTGTTTTTATCAGGCCGATATGTATGTCTTTCTGGATCGATCATGACAAAGAAAAGCTACACTCCCCTAGCAAAAAAGTGTCACCCCTAACGCAATGCGTGAAGTGATACAGGAAAACATGTCATGAACCGATGTTTTTCATTAAAGGATAATAACTCTTCGTATGAGGTCTATATTTCACAATAAAAACATTGTAAATAGCTCATTTAAATATAATATATTCTGTTTTACGACAAAAACAGGAGTCATAGCTATTATTCTGATATCTGAGCTTGTCTTCAGACCACGTGTTGTTGCCTTGAACCTGAATGGTGTCATTTATTATTTGAAGTATTGACTTTAGATGTACCAGTTTTTGCTGTTTGTTGACGGATCATTACTTGATCATTACAAGGTACATTGTAAGACCACTCCTCGCCAAGAGCCTGTCTAAAGTCATTCAATGTGGTCTGCTGGAACAATCATTTTCTTACAACACGGTGTCGAGCGTTCCACCAGTGGTCTTTGGAATTGAAATCAGGAGAATATGCTTGCTCAATTCCCTGATCATTGAAGAATGGCTTTGTTCCGTGAGCATTGTGATTTCAGTGAGCATCGAAAGGCTAAAAATCGGAACATAAGTAAGCTGAGCACCTGTGTAAATATATATCTCCTAATCACATTTGGGGCGAAGAAATGTGCGTCGTTACTCAGTGCATATGTTATTTCAAGGGTACAGTGTGAAAAAGAGATAAAATAATTTTTCGGAGTTCAACCCCCTTCTTTTTCCGAAAGAGTGGGCCTTTTATAATGAAGCCTTTGTGTACCTAGATCAAATTTTACCCAGAATGAATCTTTTTCTGACATAAAGGCCGGTCCCTTAGAACTCCCAAAGCCCCCCTCGGCTGTGGGCCTGATATTATTAAGGCGTTGGTTCTTCTCTGCATTGCACACTCCAATTCATGCCACAGGTGCTCAGTAGTGTTATTATCAAGGGTCAAAGATGGTTTCTCCATCCTGAGAACATTAATTGCCTTTCAGTAACAAACCACTCACAAGAAAAGAACTGTGAGCAAGTGTATTGTCACGATGAAGCCTGCAGTATCCCTGAAGTCACCTCTTGCATATGGAGTGACATAGCTGTTGAGCAACCATATCTGAGCCCTGATATTAACCCTACTGAGCACCTAATGTGGTATCTGGAATAAAAATACATTGATTAACAGATATGAGGTGATCATTTGTAAAGTAAAGCACATGTAATTAGAGATGGGACCAAGTCTGTACTTAAAAAGACATGTAATACAAACGGATCTTTAACAAACATCCACACTGGCAAAAGCAGGTTGCTAGATTAAGTGTGAGATAATACACTGTCACCCGAGCTATATATGCCATAACACCTCGAGCGTCAGCGAGAGGTGTTCATGGCCTATATCGCAAGAGGGTGACAATGTGTTATTTGACGTACATACCGCGAACAAATATAGTCATTTCACCCTAAAACGCCCCCTAACACTGAATAAAGTGACCCTATACCACGCTCTAGAGATGTTATATGGAATAAACTCGTCCACGTGCGCTGGTCACCTCCCGCCAAATTCTTATGTAATGTCTGACCAATTTGATCAATTTTTGCTAAATACTTGTTGTGGACGTTCAACTGGCTTGAAAAGTATTTAATCAACCGTCGACACTGACCATGCGCATCTCAGCTGAGCCACACCTAGCTGGAACTGCTGGAGAAAAAAAGGTCCCAAGGCAAAACCTCAACCGGAGCAGAATATAGTTAAACTAATTTTTCACAAGAGCGAAGGAGAAGAAATTTACTCTTTGGTGATATTTCTGACAAGGAGGCAGTTTCGGAATATAGTCAAAGTCACACAGATGTTTATGAGAAGTTCACGGGAGTGATAATTCTAGTTTAATTATTTTTTTCTGACGCCGAGGAGGTTACAGAATATAGTCAAAATCAAACGGCGGTTTATTTCAAATCCACAGGAGTAATAATTCTACGTTGTGGTGATATCTTTTACTACGAGGCGGTTTCTGAATATACATGTGCTACATGTAATTACAAGTTCAAAGGGGAATAGATTTGATTTTTACCGATATATCTGATAAAGAGGAAGAATGAACAGCTTTAAAACAAAAGGTAAATCACACAACCCTCGTTAAAAAGTTATAGATTTACAAATAATTTGTATGCACGCGTGGCTTAAATGTAAACTAATTTCCGTTTTCAAACCATATCCATATGATATGACTTAGTGTAATAAAATGATAAAGAAAAATTGTTAAACGTGAAAAGCTTATATTAATTTTTTTAGAGTGTGAGAGATTTCAAATTTGTCAACTGGTAGGTATATAACGCAAGTAAAGACACTATTCTCTAGATGCCAAGAAGGCCACATGATCACTGTCTTCGGCTTTCAGCATTTGAGAGACCTCTACTGATTTAACCAAGATGTAGTCGTGAAATTCTAGACTACATCGAGTTTAAATCCGAGTTTTCCGAGAGACGCTACGCAGAAACCCTTACGAAAAAGTCCTATAGGATCCTATAAGATCCTATAGGATCCTATAGGAAATTGGCCCAATTATGTATCAATAATAATTGGATAAACCCATCAACATTGTGATCTATTTAATTTATTTTTCTTCCAGATGTCTGGCGCTTCCACCGTACAGAAGCACGACGTGACTTCGGAAGTCATAATTCGACCTGACATATTAGAAGACCTTGACGATTTATACAAATTTACTGATCAAGTTCGCTGGGAAGTATCAGAAGAAACGTTGAAAGTATTGCTTGAAATAGTAAAAGTCGGGCACTACCTTGTTGCTGACCTCCATGGCAAAATAATTGGTCAGTGCAGATCAAGTTTTTGTTCGTTGCCGTGTGTGTGTGTGTGTGTGTGTGTGTGAAACTGCCCCATTCTTCCTAAAGAGCTTGGCAGAGAGAGAGAGAGAGAGAGAGAGAGAGGGTGGAACTTATTCAAATTCAATTTAATTTACAGTTTGTACCTGTAGTGGTGCATGCATAAGCTTTATTACAGTTTTCGAAATCTGTGCCAAATGAATAAATATCTAATACAGATTTAGGTTTATAATTAGAAAAAATATTAATTGAAATTTTTACATCGTGCAAAGATAATTAATACATTTAAATACATATAGTAAGTTATCTCGTTCAATTATGGTCATTGTACACCTACGTACTGAAATAAAATAAAAGTAAATAATGTAAAACGAATCATAAAAAAATTATGAATACGAGAGTATCCAAATGTATACGTTTTCGTGTACTGATGCATACATATAAATGTGCTTTTTCGAGAACAATAAACGTATGCGACGTTAGCCTAACGAACACCTTGCATTTGTATGCGCATGAGCAATTTTCCTCATACCTTGACAGAGGTAATAAGAGCACAAGTGCAATATATATGCGGCTGCTTCTCCGCGCACGTTGTCTGTGACCTAACAGTTTATACTGAGGTAGACATATTAGCCAATTTATGTTTCCAAGGTTCGGTCTAAATAGTGTGATTTTGTACGAAGGAAATTCATACTTACAGAGAATGTACTAAAAACTCTCATATATTGCGATATTCTACTAGTACTGTTTATTCTTCTAGGCTCATATTTAATTATTTTACTGGATGACGAAAACGCCATGTGTAACTTCCTGATAGTAGACCAAAAATACAGGGGCTCAAGCATCGGTACGTAAGTTCTATTTGGCATAAAGTTACGCAGATTTAATGTGTACGTAGCAAGAAGAGGATATAGGGGCCTTTATTTTAAATGTCCTAAAAAGATTGAAGTGATTCACCAATATAGTAACAGGCAATGTGGTGTCATTTTGACTTTTTTTCGATATTGTGCTATTTGGCATAAAATTAGGCAGGCTTAATGAGTACGTAGCATGAAGAGGATATATATTTTAAATGTCCCAAACAGATTGAAGTGATTCACCAATGTAGGGCCTAGTATCAGGCAATGCTGTCCCATTTTTACTTTTTTTCGGGATTGTAGGGCCTACTATATAAACGCATTAACCCTTTTCTTTCATGTTAATTAAGCGCAGCATAACTATCCAGCATATTATGTGCGCGTTTTTTTTTNGCCTAACAGGCAATGTGGTCTCATTTTGACATTTTTCGATATTGTGCTATACAAAAGCATTACCCCTTTTACTTTCATGTTAATTAATTACGTTTTTTTCTCTCATAAAATTAACAAAAAAAGGCCAACGACATAACTTGAGTAGAGAGGCCTTTACAGAATTTTACTCTCATTTTCCTGTTTCCAAGGGTACTGAAAGGTATTCCAATTACAAAGTAAATAATTATTTATTTTTACAATCAATACGGATTATTTTTTATCAATTACAGCGAAGAAAATTGTAGCAAGGACTATGGAAAACGCTGGAGATAGAAACGTCGTGATTTATTCCATTTACAACCGAATACAGGCTAACATAAAATTCGGCCTGAAAATTGGTGGACGGTATGTACGTCTTTGCGAAGGTCGTTTTGATGTCGGGACCTTAAATTCCGATGCCAAAATGAACCACTCTGTGATCAACGTTATCCCGGCAAATGAGGTGGACTTTGAAGCTCTTCTCACTTATGACACCTCTATCAATGTATTTCAAAGGAAAAAGTTCTTGAAAGCGTGGCTGGCAAAGCCGTCGGCCATGTCGTTTGCAGCACTCACAGATGGCGGAGAGGTCGTGGGTTATGGGCAGGTGCAAGACGCACCGCGTACGAAAGTCATATCTCCGCTCTACGCTGATAATCCGGAAGCATTTAAGTTGCTTCTAAAAGCTCTTCTGGAATCCATTCCTACCGAGTCCCGTGTAAATATGTTTATCAACGTCGATTATGAAGCCGGGATGGAAGTGATAAATAAAAACAAGGGAACAGTGAAAATGTTGCCTGAGGAACCCGGAACCTTCATGTATACCAAGAGAAATTTGGAAATACCCAAATTTGGGAGTGTCTTTGCATTAACTTGTATCGGTTCCTTTCTCGCATGATCGCATGTTAAACAAAAGAGTGAAGCCTATCAACATAAGTCTGTTTAGCTGCTTAGCATTTGATAGTTAAAAATGTCATGGTACATGTATTATTGTATAAACTACGTATTGATTAAACGATCAGTCGACAATTACCCAGCAAACATAGAACGTTATAGTAACGTTATGGTATCGTTATAAAACGCTCTGTGTTCGCTGGGTAGTGAAGTCCCTTAATACGAGAATTAGTACACAATAATCCGTAAATGGGAATGGGTACATGTCTCGTATACTATAAACAATACTTGCAATAGTGCATAGTAAAGTTACAAAACATTTCAGCGCAAGTAAAATTGATATTTTTTTTCTTATTATATAAGTAAAATGAAAATAATGGTAGCCCTTAAGGCTTATTCGTTCAGAAAAAGCCTTTTTCATGTTTTAATATATTTTTTATCATTTTTTTTTAAGATAACGGTCTTTGTATGTTTGCATGGTTGTTATATAATCCCTTTCTGTTTAATATAATTTTTTGAAAGAATAGGTCTTTTATTATTAGAAAAAAAAATTGCCCTATTCATTACCTTTTCAGAAATAAATCTCACAAAAACAAAAGCAAACTGTGTTGTTTTATTTAATGCTTTTTCTGAAAACACATCGTATTATTTTTATCAGTCCGATATGTATGTCTTTCTGGATCGATCATGACAAAGAAAAGCTATACTCCCCTAGCAAAAAAAGTGTCACCCCTAACGCAATGTGTGAAGTGATACAGAAAAACATGTCATGAAACGATATGATTCATTAAAGGGATAATAACTCTTCGTATGAGGTCTATATTTCACAATGAAAACATTGTGAATAACTCCTATAAATATAATATATTCTGTTTTACGACAAAAACAGGAGTTATAGCTATTATTTTGATATCTGTGCTTGTCTTCAGACCACGTGACCTCCATTTATGGCTGTACTGTGTTATAATCTCTTAAGAGATTTTAACAAAAAACCAAACATTTTAGAAAAAAACAGGGACTAACTTTGAATGTAAAGATGGATTCATAAACCATTGGTAAGTATGGGAAAATTGTTGTTTACCCCAGGAAAATTCATTTTTTGGCCAAAACGAAGAGTTATTATCCCTTTAAACTTCAGAAGGGAAATTTTTCACAAAAAATTAACTGAATGTACAACCAATGAATAAGCTAACCATATAAAAATTCAAAGCCACAATTTGGTACTTTGTACTGTATCCTCTGGATTGGAGGACACACCTGACGTTTAGAACTGTGCGTGCAGGGAGCCGAAAAATTGTAACGTTTGCACAGCGATGGCGTTCCACAAACAGTGCAAAGATAGTATGACATCATTTCTGTTTGTATCTTTATCCCTCGGCTATCCATTTCTGAGGATATCTCACACAAAACTGGAAAATGCGACACTATAGACAATTTCTTCAGAGCCCATTGGCATATAAACTGCGGAACTGTCCCTGTATGGTGCCCAGTTCTCTTGGTCCAAGGTGCGTCATAGTGGTGCAGTATTGTTGGAGATTCGGACATTTGCAAGGTATAAAATCATTTTATTGGGGATTCGGGGGTTTTGTTCAGTTGAATATATAAAGCCAAACAGGTTAACCAAACACAATGACATGAGGTCTCATTTGCTACACTAGTACAGCATATAATGAAAGTATAAATGAAAGAAAACACATGACTGTCGTGAAATTTTAGATTTAAGAATGATTGTGAAACGGATATAGTGAAGATAATTTGGAATGATTGACAGCAATGACTGCAGCCAGAACTACTGTAACTTACGAAAAAAAGCACGGAAAATGAAAACGTTTGTTTTCGTGCGAGTGTGTGTCCTCTCATTTTTAAGGCATAAAAGATACATTTAAATGTGACAACGCATTTTTATTGTAAAAAGCTTTTTATAAGCACATTACAATTATGACAAAATTAAGAAAAATTTTACGTGGCTGCACTGGAAATTTGCATGACCAAACAGTTGCTTCACTGGCACTCTCTTGACTGGCTAAATAGTAAAATCACACAGTATACCAGTCTACGGGGGAAAGTATCGGGTTATCAATTCAATTTCAATTTATTTCTGTACTGGTACATAGACTGTCATGACCTTGTACAATATGATATACTAATGACGATACAATACAGTTAGTGCATTACCATCTTTATATAATGGACATACGTATCAGTAAAATTACTCATAAAATATTCTATCTAAGCAATGCGATAAACCTTGGTGTGATTTTAAATTTACCATAAACATACTATAAACATGTTACACAAAAAGAATATGTTTAAACTTAAACCAAGGTTACATAGCTGTTTAAAGCCAGTTTGATGACATGGATAATTACGACTAATGACAATTACATAAGACAGATAAGTAAATAAGTTACACAGATATAAATATTGTGCCATGTTCAGTCCCACTGCCGAGTCACTTCTCACAACAGTGGGACCATACACTGACATTTTAAGGGATATGCTAAGAGTTACCAAGCAGAGCAACTACTTCACTTCTTTTCTTGAATGATTTGATTATAAAGTTGGAGAGGGACACTAGAGTATCTTTTTTGGCACTGTTAAATACATGGCATAAATGACTGTCTGGTGACCTGGGATCAGCTTTTAGGATTGAGGTTTTACTTAAAAAGGTGACTCTGTCTGTTTTGTACATTGGGCATTGGAATATAAAATGGTATTCATCTTCAATTACCCCTTGGGTGCACAGGCGACAGATTCTGTCGCACCTTTCAGTTTTTGGCCTGGTGTGCCGCCCAGTTTCGATGTGGAGTTTATGGTCACTAAGACGTAGTTTAGCAAGGGTTGACAAGGTGTCATAATTTGTTATTTTATCAACATAAGTTGCCCTTTCACACTTTTGGTTAAGTATACGGAAGAGAGACAATTTACTGTTGGCTTGAAGTTTGCTATTGCACATTTGGGTAAAGTGGTCAGTTTGTCTTTGTTTGAAAATTGTGGTGAAGTTTTTTGGAGGTGACTGGCTAAGCCACACATCTCCAAGGCCAAATGTGAAAAGGATTTTTCGGATACCCTCAGACCATGACATACAAGCTGGCCTGAGTGTGTGGACTGCGGGTGGGACATAAGGTGTCAGCAACTTGTAACTATTTATCTCTTGTATGTATGCTTGTTTCATTAGTGTAGCATCAGACA